GAAATTCTCGATTTTTCCTTCTGTAAGCATAAATAAAACTGATAAGCAATGAGACTTCATCCAGTTAACCACGCTTTCGTCGATAATAATGACATATGGACGCATCCATTCCCCACTTATTTTCAAAAACACCAATTAATATGCGGCGTCAAACGATGACTTACTGTAGTCATCCGGTTCCAGATTATGCATGCGCAATATAACTCTAGTTATGAACATAGAGTTGTCGAGCAGAAAGTCACGTTCCTTTTTTTCCTCCTCAGAAAGTTCTCTGGGATGACCGTCTCTGTCTAAGCCAAAGTGAAGACGGTAGCGCTCTTCGATGAAATTGCGCACACATGATATGTCTGTAAACCGGAACTTTCTGTTAGGAACTTGAATAGTTTGTATGGTTCTACCTTCATCTGTGTCAAAGATGATCTCTTCTGCATTTAAGATGTGCTTTTTGATTATACCTCTTTGCTGGTACAAAAAATCTGCCCGTTCTTCTTGTCCAAGTTTTCGCAAGAGAAATCGTTCCTTCTCCATAGAACTTTCCATTGACAATTCTGAAAATGAAAAAAAAAACTGAGAAAATAATCCATAAAGGACAGATCCGCATACTCTTTCGGCGAAGCTCCTCGGGTTTGCTTACATTTGGTTTCCACAATGATTCAGTCTGTGGTTTACGCAAAGTGCATTTCAAGATGGGTTGATCTATGTCTATCTTAACGTCGGCTAGTGAAACCGGGGGTAAGGACTCTTCCGTATCCGTTGACAGGAACTTTGTTGGTTTCGCAAACACTTTCTGTTCCTGCACAACTTCATTCGCTTCCTGCTGCTCTTCTTCATTATCATCCAAGTCAGAATCGGAAGATGGTAATACTGTAAGAGACGTGCGTGCATCGGGAATAGATTATAACAACGAACAAATTGCAAAGTTGTAATACTATAAGTAAATAATCAATTTGAAGATCGGTGGTAATCTAACCAGATAAGTTTAACTGAAAGATAGTTTCTAATTTTCAGGATTTAATACGAACATCTTAGTTACAGTTTTCGGGCTGAGAAGGAACTTCAGGTGGGCAAAAACAACATTTTAATACCTGTTAATTTTTGCTATTAATCAGGGGGAAGATTTGGAATAGGCCTCAAGATGTTTGTTTTCCTTGAAAAGGACATAGCACCCTATGCTTAAGATTGTTTGAGGTGTTGTATCCTAGTTGTCTATAAGGCTGTTTTAGTCACGTATGGCATTTCTCCTCTTTAAAAGCAACATAAGCTAACGGCTTGGCAAAACAGTGACGATGTTCTAAAGAGTAAGAAAACTTTTGAAACAATCACTTGATTTGATTTAACCTTTAAATAATGGATGAGGACAGGCTCTTAGAAAAATCAGTGAGAATAAGCAACTAGAGATTTACCTATAGAGGACAACAGAAAGTTTAGGCACAGTGTTGTGTCATTCTCATCAAAACTTTTCCATCAAAGGTTTCCGTTTCCCCCACCTACGATGTGCGATGTGGTAGCGTACATCATGCAAGGAAAGACGAAGAAAAAATGAAGCTAACGTAATCGTCTTGATACTGATGCGCTTTCGTTCTAGACAAAAGAAAAGCATGTTCGGAAGAAAGAAAAAGTGGGACGTATAATACTTTTTAAAAAGCCACATGATATTCAAAGAAGATAAGAGAAAGGCGACATTCTAGGACTGCTCCTTAACATCTTGAGCTAATCTATAGATTTGAATGAAGATTACCTGCAGATGGCAGATATAAGCGATATTAAATTATAAGAGAAGAAAGCAGAAATACACTCAGGATGAAACAATCAATGAAGGCCAAAAAGACAAGATGTTCCGAACCTCAAAATTTCGACAAAAACTCAGTCCAGAACTAATAGTTCATCTCCTCGCCCTGCACGCAATAGCTTTCAATTTTAAGCCTTTAAAATACGTTTTTTTTTCAAGCGACTCATCAATATAGTGAGCAAAGCTCATTGAAAAAGGACCACATAGCAAAGTACGTTGTATTTGATATATAAATGGTACTTATGATAACAAAATTTGCAGATTGGTTCTACAGATCTGAAGGAGAAAATTTTGACGAAATCTACCCAGTGTAAAAAAATTAAGCCTTGTTTCTTTTCTTGTTTTTTTCATTTGTAGTACATATAAAGTTCTCAAGGAAAGAATATGAGAAAACTGACGATCGTCGATGAT